GGGGAGGAGAGAGGAGGAGGAGGAGGAGGAGGAGGAGGAGAGGAGGAGGGAGGTGGAGGTGGGGTGGAGGTGGAGGAGGAGGAGGAGGAGGAGGAGGAGGAGGAGAGGAGGAGGAGGGAGGAGGAGGAGGAGGAGAGGAGGAGTAAGAGGAGGAGGAGTACGAGGAGGAGGAGGAGGAGGGAGGAGGAGGAGGAGGAGGGAGGAGGAGGAGGAGGAGAGGAGGAGAGGAGGGAGGGAGGAGAGGAGGAGGGAGGAGGAGGGAGGGGGAGGAGGAGGAGGAGGAGGAGGAGGAGGAGGAGGAGAGGAGGAGGAGGAGGAGGGGAGGAGGAGGAGGAGAGAGAGAAGGAGGTGGAGGAAGAGGAGGAGGAGGAGGAGAGGAGGGGAGGAGGAGGAGGAGGAGGAGGAGGAGGAGGAGGAGGAGGAGGAGGAGGAGGAGGGAGGAGGAGGAGGGAGGAGGAGGAGAAAGAGGAGGAGGAAGGAAGAGGAGGAGGAGGAGGAGGAGGAGAGGAGGAGGAGGAGGAGGAGGAGTTGATTGGCGTGGCGCGCAGCGCGCGCGCTCCCGCCTGGATGAAGCCGCCGTCGACGGCGGGGGCAGGAGCGTCGTGCATGAGAGAGCGCGCTGCACAGACCAGCCCCCGCGGCTTGCACTCCACGCACCCCCCCTCCCACCCAAGGGGGAGGAGGTGAGGGGGAGGGGAAAAGGAGAGGAGGAGGAGGAGGAGAAGGAGGAGGAGGAGGAGGAGGAGGAGAAGGAGTACGAAGAGGAGTAGGATGAGGAGGAGGAGGAGGAGGAGGAGGAGGAGGAGGAGTACGAAGAGGAGGAGGAGAAGGAGGAGGGAGGAGGATTTCTCCAGCACTGGGCTCACACCCCCCGTGGCTTCGGAGGCCGCCTCTCCATCAGCAGCATGCTGAAGCCCGAGGACGCCTCAGCTGCGCTGCTAACCTCACCGCCCAGCGTCAGCTGCGGGGAGCCTCACCCTCCTCCCAAGAGAACTCTGTGGAACTCTTTGCATGCGGGCGCTCGTTCTCATCTTCGGCCTCCCGAGGTTGGCGCCTGCTGCCATTTCCGCCACCTGGGAGCTCAGGACCCCCACGAGCCCCGAAAGCCGCAGCACTGCACTGCAGCAACGCAAGCACAGGAGGAGAAGGAAGAGGAGATGGAGGAGGAGGAGGACCAGTGCAAACCCAAGACGCATCAACGATGTTACAGTAAGCCCTCCCTACAAGTGCCCTCTTCACAAGTCCCTAGTAGAGTTTATATTGATTGCGGGAAGTGCCATATTGAAAGACAACCGTCTGAGCATCCCAAATCGTGGCAAAACACCACTCTTGGGACTTCAACGCCACAAATCAGTGTGACTGATGCGCCCCGACAATCCTAAATCGTGCCGGAACGCTGTTCCTGGGACTTCGGCACTGCGAACCAACGTGATTGTTGTATCTTGACAATCCTAAGCCGTGCAAGAACACCCGGTCCTAGTAGGATTTCATCCCCACCAACCTTTTCACAATTGTTACAAATTGTTCAAACGAATGCGCGCGGCGCTTAGGGGAGAGCCACCGTTTTCAAACCACCCGCCCTCCATCCATGACAATGTCACACATTCCAAGCTTCAGGATGATGAATGGTGAGGAAGTATCAGGCGAAACGCCCGACCTGCCCTACGGACACGCCTGGCGGGTGCGACAGGGAGGAGCTATCTATGAGGAAAGGGTGGAGGAAGAGGAGGAATAGGAGGAGGAGGAGGAGGAGGAGGAGGAGAAGCGAGGAGGAGGAGCGGAGAGGAGGAGGAAGGGGCGCGACGAGCGAGCGAACCAGGAGATTGACGAGCAGACTCTAGAGGATCTTGAAAGGCTTCTGAGGGTCCACGGGTGTTCAGTGGGTGGCGCCATATGTTTCAGCAGTAGGAGCACCAGCAGCAGCAGAGGATGTCCTTAGTTGATGTGGTTACTCCTCCTCCGTCTCCTCCTTCCCTCGATGTCGTATGTCGGTCAGCAACGCCTCGCACATGCCCACTGGCCTGTCCAGAAGCAATGCCCAGGCGAGTGGTTGCGAGAAGAGAAGAAGAGGGGAGGCAACAAAAGTGAACTTGGAGATCTCTGGGGGTCTCTCGGGGCTCTATGGCAGCTGTGGAAGGGGGGGGTGAGAGGGGGGCGGCAGGGAGGATGTGGGAAGAGGGGGTAGTGTGATCGGTCAAGTTCCCGATAGGGAACTTGCCACACGCTGTCTCGCTCATTCGCCCTCCCGCCTGCAAGTACAGTGGGGGCCCATGCCAGCTGCTTGCCTCCAGGGTGCCCTGGGTTTCTTGGGTTTCGATGGTTTTGTGATAGAAGGCGTGACGTTCCCACACCAAAAACCGATGGACGTCCTGGGGTCTCAGGGTTGGGTTTCTTGTGGAGGGTTTCTTGTGGACGTGCCCCTACTGTAACACCCAAAACTCAGCTTAGGCAGAGTCGCCGTCGGATGGACAGCCCATGGGAAAAACGATGCAGACGCTGGGTGTGCGGCGCTCGCTGTGTGCCTCCACGCGCGTCGGGGGCGCTGCGCGCACCAGGCTCGCTAGGTGCGCCCCAGGTGCCCTGGAGGCACAGGCGTACCAGGAGCGCCTCGGGGGCGGCAAAGAGGGGGGTGATGACTAGGAGGGGGTGGATATCATGGCGGGGGCCATAATATTTCCCCAGATCTCATGGCGCCTCTTCTTATTTCATGACGTCCCTGGCTCCCCCCTGGGCCGCGCACATGCTGCTGGCCATGATTTGCGCCCCCCCCTCGTGGACGTCCCCCTCTTGGCCGCCCCCGAGTGTCTGGTGCGTCATACGCGTCAAGCGCGCTATCCAATCCAGCCGCGCCTGATGCGCCAGATGAGCGACGCGCACAGAGTGCGCCAGGTATGCCTCTGCACGAGGCAGCACACATCTTGCGCAGCCATCCAGCATGAATCTCCGCGTTCGCCGAGCATAGACGTGTGGCGTATGGTCACCTCACGAGAGGTCGAACGGTCACCTCTTCCTTTGGCTCAAGGGACTGGCCCTCTCCTCCCTGCCCATGGTGCCTCTGCGGAGTCGCTGGCGTTGTCAGACTGGCGCTTTTGCGCTTTCACTCCACGGATCTCACCTTCGCGTGGATCTCGCCGTCGCAGCTCAGCAGCACGTGAGCTCACCGCCTTCTCCCGCCGCAGCCTTGCTGAACTCTTTGTCCAGGCAACTCTTAGGCTGCTGGGGTGTCGCATTCGAGGGTCGCCGCCCCCGCTTCTGCAGGAGGGTCTCCGTATCTGTCCAGTAACTCCTGAAAAGTTGTCTTCGTCCAGCCCAGCCCTGGACTCCAAGAAGCCGCTGGGCCAGAGCATGTCAACAAGAAAGAGCGATCAAGCAGTGAGGGAGTATTCCCTCGTTCCCCTTCTGCAACACCATAAAACCGCGTCCTCCTCCTTATCGCTTCTCCCCTCTCCTCATTATCCTCTTCGTCTCCGGTCGAGGACGATGAAGGGGTGGCCGTTTTCCCCTCTGCCCGGCAAGCCCCCAGGACATCAGCGGCGACGAGGGCGTCGGCGGCGGGGTCCAGCTCCCAACCGCCCGCCCGCGCCGCAGTCTGCTTCTGTCGTCCACTCGCTCCTCTTCCTCCTCCTCCTCCTCCTCCTCCCCCCTCCTCCTCCTCTTCCTCCTCCTCCTCCTCCTCCTCCTCCTTCTCCTCCTCCTCCTCCTCCTCCTCCTCCTCCTCCTCCTCCTCCTCCTCCTCCTCCTCCCACGCCTGCGCTTGTAGGCGGACTTTGAGCAGGGCTCGTAGTGTCGTGACCTTATGTCATTATCAACGTCATCATTCCCTCCCCACCTTCTCACCATCCTCCTCCTCCTCCTCCTCCTCATCCTCATCCTCCTCCTCCTCCTCCTCCCTGCATCCTCCTCTGGTATGGATCAGGCGTGGTGAATTACATGAAGTTCCCGCACATCCGTGTCCAGGACAATTGTTGTTTCGACCATTGAAGGGGGAACCCGCGAGAGCTCCTGCAAGGGATGGGGAGAGGTTGGAGGAGCGCGAGGGACGGAGAGGATGGAGAGGACGGACCGGTGGAAGGGTTGGCGGCGTCGGCGGCGCCAGTCTGCGCAAGCTGTCCGCCGCCTCCCCAGCCAACGTCAGCTGAAAGCCAGTCCCTGGACCCCTCCCAGAGTCCGCTCTGGCCCGTTCTCCCAGGCCGAAAGATTTTCTTCCTGAGCCCCAAATGTCGGAAGCGACGTGCCGTTCCGTTCAGATGAGCGGATACATGTAGCGCTCTCTCGGGCTTGGGGCGTGCCATATGGTATGGGCGGAGATGCGGAAGTTGGCGGGGGAACCGCACGTGAAGCATCATGCTATACACGGATTTGTGGATCTGTTGACCACAGTTACGGGGGAGGAGGGGTTTTCCCAGGACGGAAAGGGGAAGGAGGAGGGAGGAGGCACGAGGAGGGGGGAGGAGGGGAGAAGCGATGGGAGGAGGGAAGAGAGAGGAGGAACAATCTGGGAGGAGGGGTGGAGGGAGGAAGAAAGGGGAGGAGAAAGAGGAGGGAGGAGGGATGCGGAAGGAGGATAGAGGAGGGAGGAGGAGGCGGGGGGAGGAGGGAGGAGGTGGGAGGAGGAGGGAAGAGGGAGGACGGAGAGCATGAGGACACACAAGCAAAGTGTCAAGATCGGAAGCTCGAGCACCACAGCGGGCCTGGCCACCGCCCTCAACTCCTCCCATAACATGTGGTTGCTCGAGCGCCACGGCGGGCCTGGCCATCTCCCGAGAATCCTTTGAAAATCTAAGATTGTTCGAACGCCACAGCGGGCCCAGCCAACTCCTGCATCTCCTCCCATACCAGATGGCACGCCCCAAGTCGAAGAGAGCGATACATATATCCGCTCACCTGAACGGCACGTCGCTTCCGACATTTAGTGTTCAATAGGAACATTGCTCGGCCTGCGCAAGTATTGACCACATCCGCTTCTCCGCAGGCGTGCTTTACCGTTCCGTGCCTGAACGGCCTGGTCCCAGCGTTCCACCGAAACCAGCCGCCGCTTGCCCTGAATTTCCACACTGTGGCTGACGATTTCGGGGTTCACCTTCCCCTTCCGCATTCCGCTGAAAGGCGGCGGAGATTGCAGTCACGGCCTGCACTTTTCGCACGCGTTGTCCCCAGCATTGTGGCAGAGACGAGCTCGGGCTCAAGCATCGCCTCCAAGTTGCGCAAGCCCGAATTCCAGTTCCGTTGCTGATGACCTCGGGCTTTGCCTTCGGTTTCCAGCTTCGTTTCCGAGCTTTCGCTCGTAAAGCGCCTGTGCCGCATGTCTCCGTCGCTTCCCGCTCGCCCTGATCCCAGCACGGTAGGCGATGGCATTGGGCTTGATGTTCGGTTGCCGTTTGGTTGCTTCCGTCGGGTTCCAGCTTCACCTTCCTCACGCGTTCGGCTGACATTGAGATCCCAGCGGGGTAGCTGAGGACGTTGGGTTCCATCTTCACATCCACTCTCTCGCACAGGTGCACCTGCGCTTGCTGCCACTGGTCGCCCTCCTTCTACGCGCTGGTCTCAGCGCTGCACCCGAGGACGTTTGTCTCCAGCCTCACTTCCACACGTCCGCGGAGCTCTGCCAGAGCTTATTGCCGCTGCTTGCCCTTCACACACGCGCTGGCTATCGCATTGTAGCTGAGGACGTTGGGCTCCAGCTTCGCCTCCACAGTCTCGCGGAGACGCGCAGGAGCTTGTTGCCACCGCTCGCATTTTCGCACTCGCTGGTCTCAGCGCTGCACCCGAGGACATCTGTCTCTAGCTTCATGTCCACACGCTCGCGGAGCCCAGCCAGACATGTTTGCCATTGCTTGCCTTTCTCACGCCCGACCGCCGCGCTGAATTTGAAGGCGTCACCATTTCGCGGATAATTCCCAGAGCTTGTTTCCATGGTTCGCCCTTCTCGCACCCCCTGGTCCCAGCCCCACCGATGAGCACGTCGGGCTCTGGTTTCGCCTCCAACGTTGCGCGGAGTATCGTCTGAGCTTGCTGGCACTGCTCGCCCTTCTGGCACTTGCTGGCGCCAGCACTGCGGTTAAGGACGTCGGGCTCAAATTTCGCCGTCAGAGTTTGCTGTCATTGGTTTGCTTCGCTCCTGGGCTGATCTCTACACTGTAGCTGTTCGGTGCCCCGTGCGGCATCCAGCGTGCCCACCTCTGCGCTGCAGTTGACGATGGTGCCTGTGGGTTCCCCCGTCGCCTGCGTGTCCTCGGCGGTGGGTCGTGAAACCGTACCGCCACTCCCGGAGAAGGAGAGCAGGGAACGGAAGGGGAGAGGAGGGCCGTAGAACATTGAATGCCCATGGACGTACCTGACCCGCCCAAGACGTTTGGCAACTCCTGGGGGTGGGTCTGCGTGCACCACCAGGGGAACAACGTGGCGACCGTTGCGCGCGTGTTGGGCCCTTGAGAAGTCGATGCGCCGTTTGTATTTGCGTGCGTCACCAGTCCGGGGGGGGAACCCCGCGTTGTGTAGGACGGCTTGCTGGCGGCCTCGCATGCGCGTGTTCACGCCGTCGCCACCGCCGACGTTGCTGCTTGTTGTTGGTGCCATGCCGCGTGACAGCTCCCAGACGCACTGCCGCTCCGACTGCTGCGTCTGGAGCGCCTTTTGGTGGAGGGGCCCACGCAGCGTGCGAGCCGCTCGGGCGCAGAGCGGCTGGCAAGGAGGAGGAGAGAAGCATGGGGGGCGGGGGGGGGGGGAGAAGGAGGAGGAGGAGGAGGAGGGAGGAGGAGGAGGAGGAGGAGGAGCAGCAGCAGGAGGAGGAGGAGCAGGAGGAGGAGGAGGAGGAGGAGGAGGAGGAGGAGGAGGGGGAGCAGCGAGGGCGGCTTCCGGCTGGCTTGTACGCCCGCCGGTTCGGGGCTTCGAGGGAGGAGGGGAGGAGGAGCAGGAGGGAGAGAGCGTGCGGATGATCGGGGCAGGGGCGAGGACGAGCTCAGCAGCTGGGTGCGCTCGCGCCACACCCCGCCCACCAGTTCCTTCCCATTTCGTCGAGACCTCGTCTGCCCGAAGACCAGGATATGCTGGAGGACCTCGGTGCACGACTGGCAGTTGCATGATTTGACCCATCGCTGGTTGCGCAATCGGATAGGGGGGGACATCGGAGGAAAGGGAGGAGGAGCACCAGGAGCATGATGCGGATGCGGATCAGGATAAGGATAAGGATCAGCAAGAGATGCCAGAAGCGTCGAGGGAGTGCGGCGGAGGGAAAAGGAGGGCGAGGAACGAGTCGGATTGCAAGATGTGGCACGCGTTGCGGCGAGAGTTCTGAACGACGGGCGCAAAGCACCGAGAGAGCAACAGTGTGGTCACCGCTGCAGTGGGAGCAGCACGTTTCAAGGACCAAGGGCGTCCCGAACCAGCACACGCGTGACAGTCCCGAACCACCACCACCAAGTGATGAAACCGGATGAGCAGCACTGCAGAGCCGCGAGAGGTGGAAGCACCATTGCACCTTGTCGGGGGGGAGCGGGACGAGGAGCAGCACACGCAGGGTGCACGGGCGGAGACCGGATGGGAAGAGGCAGGGCTGGGCGGCCTTACAGGAACCGGGTGCGGCAGGGAGGACGAGGGGCAGGTCAGGCTGGGGGGGGGGGGCGCGAGAACGGATCTGGAGGGGAGGGTAGAGAAGGAGGGGGGAGGGGGGGGAGGGGGGTTGGGGTAAGCTAGGTGCGCTCGCGTCATGTCTGACGTCCTACCCCTCCCTCCCATCCCCTACCATGGCGTAGATCCCCTCTCTGTCCGCAAAGTCGAATGTCGAGCAGGGCAATGGTGCCGAGAGGGTGCGCGATGCATCGTAGAGCACGGCATAGCAATGCGTAGAAGAGCACGGCAGAGAGTAGTATGTCATAGCATGGTGTGGCGTTGCGTGGTGAAGAATTGCATCACAAAGGTTTGCAACGCAGATAATGGCACATTACAGCGGCACATCACAGAACATGGCATAGCATGGCGTTGAAGATCAAAGCGTAGCATGGCATAGCATGGCGTGGCACTGCGTAGTCAAGCACTGGATATCCTAGCATTGCAGCTAAAGGCATGGCATCACACAGCGGAACACCACATAGCACTGCATTGCATGCCATGGCATCGCATTGAAAACGAGACCAGCGCTGCAGCGGTAGCACGATTCGGAACGAGCGGAAGCGCGGAAATGAGGCCAGCGCTGCAGCGGGAGAACGATGCGAAACGAACAGAAGCGCGGAAATGAGGCCAGCGCTGAAGCGGGAGTACGATTCGGAACGAGCGGAAGCCCGAAAATGAGGCCAGCCCTTCAGCGGGAGCAGAAGGTTGAAACAAAGAAAAAAACAGCGAAAACCCAACTCCTGGGAATCCTGTGTGTAAAAAACAAAGCGGACGGGGGCCAAATTTCTTTTGGACGTCATCAGGAGAAGTAGGGTTGTATTCATATTGTAATCGTGCAGGGGGAGGGAAGGGGATGGGAGTGGAGGGGGGGGAGAGGGGGGGGAGACGGGAGGGGGGAGGGCGGAGGGGGGGGCAGGAGAGGGAGGAGGACGGGAGGACGGGAGCGGGGGGGGAGGACGGGAGGACGGGAGGGGGGAGGACGGGAGGAGGACGGGTAGGAGAGGGGGGGGGGGACGGGAGGGGGGAGGACGGGAGAGGGGACGCCGGAGGAAAGACCGCGCCCAGCGAGGTGTTCCAGCACCAGCCCGTGGAGAGCAGGGGCATGATGCACGGCACGCGCTGCTGCTACGGCGGGGAGGGGCCGACTTGCCCGCCCTCCCCCCCGCGCGCAGATGCTCCGAAGGGGAGAGACATCAAAATCTGCGCTGCTCAGATCTGTCGGCGGGGACGCCATGGTCAGCGCTCCGGGAGAGCACGCAGATGTTCGGCGCGGTGGGGGGCCCCGGAGAGGCCCCGGACTCTGGAGCCTCCCCGCCCCCACGGCGTTCCGAACGCTGCCGACGTCGAAACCGCGATCCCGCGCTCATGCGCTGCACGCTTCCGAGCTCTGCGCCTCGTCGAGCGCACCGCACCCCAGGGGTGGTTGGTTTTTGAGATTGCCAACGACTGCAGCAGCTACAAGGGTGGAGGCGCCTCATGTTTAAAGTCGCTCTCGCTCTCTCTCTCTCTCTCTCTCTCTCGCTCTCTCGCTCTCTCTCTCTCTCTCGCTCACTCTCTCTCTCTCTCTTTCCCTCCATGGCGCCGCGCACACTCCTTGTAAAGGCTTGCAGCAGCCACAAGCATGGAGGGCGCTTGCCTTTTCAACCCCGTGGCTCTCGCCTGCGACTCCGCCGAGCACCACCGGCCAGAAGCTTCGAACAGATGCGGCAGCTGCACGGACGCAGGGCAGTTCGCTTTTTCCTTCCACGGCGGGCTCTCGGTAGGAGGCCTCCTCTCGGAAGCCAGCGGCCAGGTGCGCCAACGCATGCCGACAACCACGCGGATGTGGACGGGCCCTTCCTCCGTGGACGCGCTAACGGCGACGGCGACGCAGGTTTCGGCACTGCAGGTGGGACTGGCTCGTGGCCACATCGATTGTAGGGCATCGAGGCTCGTGCTTTCCTGCACTTCGCTGCGCCGTTCTCGCTCGATGCGTTCGCACAGTTGAAATATTGGAAAGTGTGGCTCGCGATGTCCTACTGCTTGCTCTGCGCGAGCTCGGTGCCACAGAAGTCAGATTCCCAATCTCGCCGTTGACCAACATCACCGTTGACCAACATCACCAACGGGCCAGCGAGGGCCGATTTTGAAGAAACCCTGATCAACCCCCATCTGTTGAAAAAAGGGTGCTGCCTATCGTCATCGGTCGTGTCTGCATCGTCGACCGCCCAGGCCGCCGCAGGTGGACGGGCCTCGGCCGATTGAGGTGGTGATTGGTTCCTCAAAATTCGGCAATACGCAAGAGTGACCCTGGGTAAGAGTGACCTTTGGTGCGCGGCTTTTTGGGGGCCGCGGGGGGACCAAACCTGGGCGCGCAAGCAGCTGCTACTGTTTGGTTTTCAGCCATCCGGGGACCCATCTGTGCCCGCACCAGAGGTCACTCCTGCGAAAGGTCACTCTTACGTGTAGTCGAAAGACGGAGTCATCGTTGGCCGCTTCGTGGAACGGCCTGACGAGGCCATGCCGCGCTACGCAGTGGAGCTTGACTATTCTTGGCCATTTCGGGAGCATTCTTTTTCGTATGCTTTATCCTTCTTCGTCCGACCTCCCCCCGGGAGGGGGACACAGGCCCCACCCGAAGTCATCGCTGGCCGCTTCGCGGAACGGCCTGGCGAGGCCGGGCCGCGCCGCGCCGTGGAGAGCTCGGCGGCGGGGTCTGCAGAGGGCGCCGCCGCTCCAGAGGGCGGGGCCCTCGCGCGTGGACGGCAGGCCCGCTGGGCGCGCGCGTCCTCCCGGCAGGGAGGCGGCCCGCTGCAGGTAGGGAAGTCTGGAGTCGGGCGCGCCCCGCGGCAGGAGGAGCACCCATGCGTAGTCAAACGACAGAGTCGGGGGACGATGTCTCGACGATTTGTGTTTGCTATGTGTGAGCATGTCTTGATGATGTCTTACAGTCAGAAAGTAGTCGGGGGACGATCGTTCGACTATCCTATGCGCTTGTTGAGCATGTCTTGACTATGCATCATGTCACCTCCAAAATCCGCCTGTAGGGAGACATGCCGGACCCAAAGGTAGAAGGAGGACGTGCGAGGGGGGGGAGGACTTGGCACGGGAGGGTGCATCGTGGCATTGTTGGCGCATCTCGGGCTGATTCCGGTCCTCCTCCTCCTGCCCCTCCAGTTCCAAACACGCCCGACCCAACAATACGGCTCCCCACCCCTCCCCACCCCTGGACCCCAAGAGGGGACGGGCGCGAGGGGAGGATGGGACGACCACGGCCACGCGGTGCGCCGGGAGGCCGCGCGCCTCCCCCGCCCGTCGCACCGCCCGCTGCGCGGGTGGCTCCCCCGGGGGGGGGGGGGGGGCTCCATGTGGGGGGGCTCCGGGGAGGAGGGGCAGGAGAGAGGCTGAGGTATCACTTCTCTTTCTGACGGTGACGGCGTAGCCAGTGGCCTCCCCTACCCCGAGCGGCGTTGCAGGAGTTCCAGGGGGAAGGTGGGAGGGGGGGAGGAGGCAGGAGGAGGAGGAGAAGGAGGAGGAGGACGAGGAGGAGGAGGAGGAGGAGGAGGAGGAGGAGGAGGAGGAGGAGGAGGAGGGAGGAGGAGGAGGAGGAGGAAGGGAGGGGGGGAGGAGGCGCCAGCAGAGAGGGAAGGAGGAGGAGAGGAGGAAGGGAGGAGGCAGGGGGAGGAGGGAGGCGTCAGGAGAGAATGAGGGAGAAGTGGCGAGGCAGGAGGGAGGACGGACGAGGCGGAGGAATATTGGTGCTGCTAAAATGCGGGGGGGGGCAGGAGGAGGAGGAAGCTCCTCCCAGCTGATTCCCTGCTCCTTCTTCTACCTCCTCAGCAGCATCGTCATCATCAGCATCATCATCATTATCAGCAGCAGCATCATCGTCATCATCATCATGATAATCAGCATCGTCATCATCAGCATCATGGTGATGAGTATCATCATCACCACCAGCATAATCAACGTCATCATCATCACCATACTTAGCAGCCTAATCATCGTCATCGGCTGTATCATCGATATCGTCATCTCCATCGTCATTACCATCATCACCAGCGTCATCATCATCATCTTCTTCATCATCATCATCATCATCCTCATAGTCGTCAGCATCCTCATCACCATCAGCAGCATCAGCATCGGCATCGGCATCGTAATCGGAATCGTCATCGTTACCGTTATCGTTATCATCAGCATCATCATCATCCTAATCAGCAGCAGCAGCAGCATCATGATCATCCTCAACCTCATCAGCAGCAGCAGCATCATCATCGTCACCTTCACCTTTACCATCACCATCACCATCACCACCACCATCATCAGCATTATTACTTTTCATAAGAGCATTCGCATCCTCCTCCTCCTCCTCCGCCGCCTCATCCGCTCCCCTCCTCATGCGACTCCTCCTCCTCCTTTTCTCCACCTCCTCCACCTCCTCCTCCACCACGTGTCTTCTCTTCTCTTCTCCTCATCCCCTGTTCTCCATCCTGCCCCAGCTTCCTCATCCTCAACCCTCGTCGTGCTCCCTCCCCCTCGCCCCGTGCGCAAGGGAGGAGCGGAGGGATGCCAAGGAGGAAATGGGCAGGAAGAGGAGGAGGAGGAGCAGCAGCAGCAGCAGCAGCAGCAGGCTGAGGAGGAAGAGGAGGAGGAGGAGGAGGAGGAGGAGGCAACAAAAAGAAGAAATTGGAGGGACAGCAGCGGAGGAACGGCATGAGGTTGAAGACGGTGTGGGTAGTTTTCGGCGGGTGGGCCACGCGCCGGCTGCCCGAGAGAGGGCAGGCGCCCGAGAGTTGTGGCAGAGCTGCGGTGGGGGCCACCCTGCTCGCCACCGACCTCCCGCGTGACGCAGGCCCAGATCCCCGACGGCTGGCTTCTGCGCTTCAACGTCCGGCGGTTGCTCCTGGATTTTGGCATCTGGGGTCGGGCGTCGGGCCCCGGAGCTGAACAGAGGCGGCTGCGCCACGGGCCAAGCAGAAATACATGAGGCCTGGCCACAAGCGGACGGACGCGTGGGCAGAGGGCGCGACGCGAAGCCTGCGGCGCCGCTGCCACAGGCCGAGGGCGATGCAGGAAGCGCGCTGCAGTCCACAGACGGCTGCACTGGCCAAAGGCAGGGAGGTCTCGCCAGCGGCGAGGGAGCGCCGCTCGCTTCTTCATCCCGCACAGAGGGTCAAGTCGGGCCTGTCCCTCTACAGGAGGAATTTCCAAAAATAGGGCAAAAAATCTGGGGACGAGTTTTTGAGTACTTTCGAGCATGCATTTAGTATGCTTGACTCTCTTCCAATGTTTCGCCCGAGATCTGCTTGTAGGGGGACATGCCCGACCTGAACGGAGGGGGATGGACCATTGTGGTGTCCCGCCTCTCTGCCGCCGAGGGCGTGCTCGGGGGGGGGGGCCAGAGATACCCCTCTCGGGCGGGTGGCGGGTGGCCCCATCGAAGGGCCTCCTCACCTCCAGGGAGGAGAAACCACCCCGATCCCGACGATTGGCGTTTCCTGGAAGGCCCCTGGGCGTTTACTATAAACGGTGCTTTGCCCTGCTCGATTCCTTCCCTGGTTGCGTTTACTAGACGGCTTCGCTCGTCGGGGTGCTCATTACGAGTAGCAGCCGCTCTGCGGTTGATCGGGTGTTCCTGTGTGCATGTGTATATACCTATATACATATGTACATACATATATATATATATATATGTATATATATATATATATATATATATATATGTAAACGTATAAGAAGGGGCGCGCGCGCGCGGGAGGCGGCGGCGCGGCGGGTGAGGACGAGGAGGAGGAGGAGGATCAGCAGGGCGAGGTTCGCGAGGGGCAGGAGAGAGAGGATTAGCAGAGCGAGGATCGGCAGAGTGAGCATGACGAGCAGAGCGAGGGTCACGAGAATGAGAATGTACATGAGGAGGGCGAGGATCAGGACCGTGAGGCAGGAGGGCGAGGGTGAGGAGAGCGAGAATCACGAGAGGTGAGGATCATGAGGGTGAGGATCAGAAGGGCGAGGGCCATGAGGGGGACATCAAGAGGGTGAGGATCAGCATTGCGAGGAGCTACTGGCTCCTACTTTTGCCGCCTCCTCCGCCTCCTCCTCCTCACCATCGTCTTCCTTCAACTGCTGGGGGCCTCCGTCTGCGAGCGATATCGGGCGACCCTGCGAGGATGTCTCGAGCGAGGGCCTCAGACTGGGACGCGCCCGGCGCGCCCGGTGTGCCTGGTACGCTCCCCGAAATTGGTCCCAGGGTGCGCGGCAGGGCCTGAATTTCTCACGCGCCTGGGGGTCGACTCGCATGCGGTGCCAATCCCAACTTGCTGGGACTGGTCCCATTCTAAGTTTGAGGCGACGTTCAGATTTCCCAAAACCAAACAATCGGCTTACGTCTGCAAATGTATTCCGGAAGCTAGCATGACCTCTCTGGGTTCAGGTTAAGGACTCAAGGGTTTAAGGGTTCGAAGGTTTCAGGGTTTGAGGGCTCATGGACTTAAGAGCTTCAGGACGTAGGCGTTGAAAGGTTTCAGAGAGTAAGGGGTTTAATGTTTAAGGGCCGATCTGAAAGTTTGAATGTTTTAAGGCTCCCTCGTAAGGGATCAAGGGCGTAAGGGTTTGAAGGGTTATATTTTTTTTAAGCCTGAAAGGGCTCAAGAGTTTGAAGGCTTATGGGCTTCAGGGTTTTTAAGGATGTCAGTGTCTAAAGCGTTCAGGGCCTTAAACGGGTTTGAGGGATTTAGGGTGTTAGTGTTTGAGGATTTACGGGCGCAGGGCTGAAGGAACTGAACTCTTAGGGTTTGAGGACTCACGGAATCATCATCATCATCATCATCATCATCATCATCATCACCATCACCATCACCATCACCATCACCATCATCATCATCATCATCATCATCATCATCATCATCATCATCATCATCATCATCATCATCATCATCATCATCATCATCATCATTATCGTCATCACCATTGTCATAGCATCATCGCCTCCACCACCTTCAGCATCATCATCTTCATCGTTTGGCAACCGTCATCATCATCACAATCACCAGCACCAGCATCATCATCATCATCAGCAGCATCATCATCAGCATCATCATCAGCATCCCACTCATCCGTCGCAAGCACGCCGTCCTCTTACACGCCTGGACGACGCCTCTAAGACGTCCACAGGGCGCCTCGAAGACGCCTCTATGACGCCCGTACGATGCCTCTAAGTCGCCCTTGCGACGCCTCTAAGACGCCGCGAATACGCACGTACGACGCCGGGAAGTCGCCTCCAGGACGCCGCTAATACGCCTCTAGGACACCCGTACGGAGTTTCTAAGACGCCCGTACGACGCCTCGAAGACGCCCGCACGACGCCCCTAAGATGCCCGCATGACGCCCCCAAGACGCCCGTACGTTGTCTCTAAGACACACGTACGACGCTCTAAGACGCCCGCACGACCCCCCTAAGACGCCTACACGACGGCTCGAAGACGCCCGTACGACGCCCCCTAAGACGCCTACACGACGCCTAGAAGACGCCCGTACGACGCCTCTAAGAGCCGTATGGGTCTTCCCATAGAGGTTGGTTGGAATTTCTCTTCGAGCGGTTGGAACTCGTACCAGCGGGGCCGCAGTTCGTATACTAAGGTGGTCGGAACCGGTTTCCCGGGTCGACCCTGCGAGGGTGTCTCGAGCGAGAGCCCCAGACAAGGACGCGCCCCGCACGCCCCGCGGGCGCGGCGGGGCCTGACGTTCTCGCGCGCCCGGAAGTCGGCTTTGCGAGGACGTCTCGAGCGAGGGGCCCCGGACTGGGCGCGCCCGGTGCGGCCGGCGCGCCCCCCGGAAAGGATCCCTGGGGGCGCGGCGGGGCCTGACGTTCTCACGCGCCGGGGGTTAGGACGGCGTGAGTTTCGCCGAAACTCACGCCATAGGAGGGTGGAGGTCCTGCTCTCTGTCGCCCCCCGAGAGGGCGCACGAGAGGCAGCGTGGAGGGAGCGGCAGGGGCTCGTCGAGGAAGTCGACTTGCCGCAACGGCACACGGAGCTGCGCTTTAGGGTGGAGAGCCCTCGAGACACGCCGTCAGTTGTGGCTGCGTCCTCGCCTCTCCTGGTCGACTGGCCCCCTGTCGACTACGGCTTGCAACGAGCGCGGACGGCCACGCAAGGACCGTCAGAGCAGTCGAAGGCGGCCACAGCGTGTCCCGACCCCAGGGACTGGGCGCTCAAGCCTCGAAGCTCGTGTGGGCAAGCGCAGGTTCCTGCAGGCAGTCGGGAAGCCGCCCGAGAGCCTCCGAGCACTGCCAAGCTGCCCCTATCGGGCACCAGGGATGCCCCTTGCCAGGCTTCGCTCGTCTTTCGCGCAGCAGGCTCAACCCAGGGAGCGTCGTGGAGGTGGAGACGGGGCCAAGGCGGAAGAATTGCGGCAGCCAGCGTCGCAACCGATCGCGCAATCTGTTCATTGCGCCACACTTGCTGGGATTCGGTGGGTGATGGGGCAGGATGAGCGTCGCGGCCAACGGTCGGCATGCTAGTTGCCGAGACGCAAACAAATTACAAGAGGCTTACGCCATTCCACCGACCCTCAGAAGATCAGATGCACGGTCTCCGATTTTGCGTGTGCTGTTTGCTGCTTCCCGTCGTGATACCTGCGTGTAGATGTTACTGGTGTGTCTTCCTCCTCCTCCGCGTTTGTTGCTGGGTCTGTTGACAAAAACCTTTGGGGCAGCCTCTTGGGAGCCTTTTCAGGGCGCCTGGGCATCTTGTGTGGGTGGAGGCTCCTGGGGCCTCCACGAGTTGCCCCTATTGCACTATTGGGCCCCTCTTGCCTTCGTGGGGCCATCTTGGATGCCTTTTCGGAAGTTTTGAGGGTCTCTTGTGCAGTCTTTGGGCCATTTTGGAACACCTTCAGGCCCTCTTAGGGACCTCTTCGGCGGTGTTGGGCCGATCTGGGGGGGCTTCTCGGGCCGTCTCGGGGGAGGAGGAGGAGGAGGAGGAGGAGGAGGAGGAGGAGGAGGAGGAGGAGGAGGAGGAGGAGGAGTATTCATAGATGTTCGAGGAGTATTCATATGTTCGAGGAGTATTCATAGATGTTCGAGGAGTATTCATAGATGTTCGAGGAGTATTCATAGCATGTTCGAGGAGTATTCATAGCATGTTCGAGGAGTATTCATAGCCAAAGGAGATGAGGAGCAGGATTCCCATATGATCGTTCGAAACGCTGAAGCTACCCGGCCATTAGGACTAAAACAATCGTCGAACAAGCTGGTCACGGGCGTCGTTTTCGAGAGTTTATCCCGTCGACTGGGTGATAAAGTCCATTATTCTCAAAGGGGATTCGTCGGAGGGAGGAATTTTGGTCTAAATATTCTCGAGCTCGACGTGCGAGCCCGAATGGTTTCGATGCTTCCCGATGCCGCTGTTCGGCTTCCAGCCTTGATATCTTTTGATTATGGACAGGCCTTCCCGTCGGTCGCGCACCGATGGATCATGATGACGCTTGCTGCCTTCCGTGTGCCTCTGCCCATGCAGATCTTCGTAGAGACGTTGTATACGAACGTTCGCTGCTTTGGCACATTCGGCAGAGTATGCTGCTTCTTGTTTTACATCCTGTCGGGGATCATCCAAGGATGCCCAGGGTCTGGCGCCCTATTCGCCGTCGGGAGCCACCCCTTTCTCGTGGATATGTGGAAGCGATTGGAAGCTCAGAATGATGTGGCACCTGACGGGCTCCGAGATGATCTCATGGGTCGAGCTCGAGAACGCCAGATGAGTATGGCCAGAGCTTGTGCTGATGATATTGGATCTGTGGTTTCAGCGCTTCGGGATCTACTTCAACTGAAGGCGGTATTCGACTGCAGTGAGGCCCTCGCGTGTCTCACGCTCAAGTATGCCAAGTGTTTCCTGGTTCCTCTTGCGGGCCCCTTCTCGGCCACCCTCGTCGCCAAGTATCGATTCTGGCTTCAGAACTTTCTCCCCGACTGGGGAGCGTTCCAGGTTGTGAGCTCTCTGACCTATCTTGGCATGATTCTTGGGCCCAGCGTGACCACTGAGAGCTGGCACAAGCCTCTTTTGAAATGGGCAGGACGTACAGTGCAGATTGCCAAAGTCGGCGCGCCGCCGACCATCACAGAGTATATGTACTCTAGTCGTGCCGTCTCAACCCTTACCTATGTCGCCCAATTCTGTCCCATCCCTGAGCTTTGCCCTGCCCTTCCTGCCCCTCTCTCTCGTGTTGAGCATGCCTCCTTCGCCTCTCTCTTCAAAGTCCCCCATTGCACGCTTCCTCGGAGTGGCTGGTTCTCGCTTCACCTGTGGGGAGGACCGCAACTCACGAGCGTGAAATCCTTGAGTTGTGCCACTCTTATGAGAGCGGCCGTCAACACGTTCCCTGAATATCGAATGCTCTTGGACCAGCTGTCTGAGTTTGCTTCTCGCCATCTTGAGGTCGTTGATCTCTCGGCTGGGAAACTGTCTCCGCGCTTCTGGCAGTCACCAGCGTTTGTGGAGCATCTCTCGGATGCGGCAGGTGGCTTCTCTCGCTCTCGGGACCTGGCTCGAGCTGGATCGATCGCCCGTGGGGCTGCGCTGGAGCTCCTGGCCTCTGCCTCCGCCCTCTCTCGCCCCCCTAAGAATGTGAAGATGCAAGGTAGATTGCTGAAGATTTTCCAACGAGAACTCTTCCCAGATTCCCTGGACGTTGTTTTCTCGGAGCGTTGGGCCCGTTGGTTCCCTGAGGCCGCGGAGGTCCTGTTGCATGTGAAATGGGAAGAGGTCCGTGAGCTTCTCATTCGAATGAGAGGCCCTTTAGTGAATGCGATATGGAAGACTCTCTCTGGTAGTTGGATCACAGCCATGCGGTTTCACGACAGTGTGCCCTTGTGCTGTCTGCTGGGCTGCGGCGGCCCTGACAGCTTCGTCCACTATTGGTGCTGCCCACGCTTCATCCAGCTTCTCGAATCTGTTTTGTGCTCCCAAGTTCACTACTGTCCGATCTGTCGCTCTGGTGTTTTTCTCCCGACCATCTCTAGTCTTACCGTCCCCGCTGCTGCCTATCTCCTGTTCGTGAATCTCCGCTCGCTCTTCCAGCCACCTGAACCTCTTACATTAGAGGTGGCACAGTCTGCTGTACCCCTCACGAGGGTCCAGCTTGCGCGGGCGAGGGTGCGCGGCGGCCAGCGCGGATGAAGGACATGTGGCGCGCAGCTACGTGCGAGGAGGAGGAGGAGGAGGAGGAGGAGGAGGGAGGGCCAAAGATCCCAAAGAGGCACATGGACCGAGGCCCGCAGGGTCCCATGTGCATCCAAAACGATGCCACGGAAGCCCGCCCCGAAGAGCTCCCGAATCGGATGAATAACGGCAGCAGGACCCGTCCACGAGTAGATTCCCAGACAGGGTGGGCCGACCTACCTCGGCAGCATCTAAGCCCCGAGGAGCATGATATTCTAAACCTATGCCCTCGCGGTAAGAGGACGAGGGACGGTGATGCCAGGACGAGGGATGTTGATGCCCGCGGGTAAACAATGAACCTCTTTCGTCGATTCGGATTCCTGAGCATCCTGGATAAGGTGGATATGTGAAGAGGGTGGAGTGGTCGATGGGAAGAGGGCAGAGGAGGAGGAGGAGCATGGACACGAAGGAGAAGAAGAGTTGGAGGAAGAGGAGGGTGTAAGTTTCAAGGGCACGAACATGTGCCACAATCTAAAAAAAGTCCGTCACCATCGCGGGCCTCTTTTGGCGGGAGGGAGAGGGTCCCTGGAGGCCCCCAGAGGGCGTCTAAGGCGCCAAGGATTGTCGATCGCCTTGGGCAGCAGTCCGCAGGAGGAGGGCTCCTCGAGGTAGGTGGCCGCGGAGGGGGCGATCAAGCCCCACGGCGCCAAACATCTTCGATCGTCGCGGGCAAAACGTGGCAGGAGCGTGAGAGGTTGGCAGGACAGGGCGCAGCCTCGCGCAGGGCGCCAAGATGTCGCACGCCGTCCATTCCCCCGCCATGCGGGCTCACAAGGACCGCCCCTCCACGGCCATGTATCGCGCGACGGCGACGACGACGGCGCGACGACGGCGGCGACGACGCGAAGACCATTGCGACTATGTCGACGACGACGACGACGACGACGACGACGACGACGACGACGACGACGACGACGACGACGACGACGACGACGACGGCGCGACGACGGAGGCGGCGCAACGACGGCGCGGTGGCTGCTGCGGCGGCGACGGCGGCGGCGACGGCGGCGACGGCGACGACAGACGTGACAATGGCCACGGTGGAGAACGTGTGCTTCGCGTGTCGCGGCGGCGGCCTCTGCGACACTTGATGCCTTGACAGCTGATAGTGTGTCGCCCCTGAGGCTGCGTTCGAAGCGGTGAACGTGTTGCACTAGACGTGTGGACATAACTGGAATGTTGATGGCGTGTCGCGCCGAAGCGGGCTGGGCCAGAACTGGCGGCGCGACACGCTAGGCAAACGATCTTGACCGCATGTCGATGATGAATTCGCAGTACCCCCATATTTTCCAACACCGAAAACAACACAGTGTTCACCATTGCCATCACCACTGCCGCCGCCAAGGCCTTCCTGGATAATATAAGCACGACATTCCTACCAGTATCGCCATCATCGCCCCTACAATCACACCCATGGTTATCACTAACAGCAACAGCAACGACAACACCATCATTGCCAGGCTCTCTTCGTCCTTGTCCCTCCTCATCTCCCATCCCCTTCCTCGCTCTTCATCCTTACCATCGACAACGTGAGCGACAACATCATTGCCAGTCTCTCCTCGTCCCGTTCTTCCTCCGTCTCCTCCTCCTCCTGGCGTTGACGTTGATGCTGCGGGTGATAGTCCAATCCAACCGTGCAGCTTGGCCCCCATTTGGTCAGGGCGGAGGGTCATCAACTCGGAACCCACTCCTCCTCCATTTGCTCCATGCCTGTTGCCGCCTTCTCATTCTCCTTCGCCTTCTTCCTGGCATCCCCCTCCTCTTCCATATCCTGGTCCTCCTCCTTTCTCTTCCTCATCGTCCTCATCATCAGCATCATCATCATCATCATCATCATCATCATCACCATCACCATCAGCATCAGCATCAGCAGCAGCATCAGAATCATCATCATCCTCGTCCTCGTCGACGTCATCATCAGCATCAGCATCATCATCAGCAGTGCCATTGCCAACAGCATCGTCAGCATTATCACCATCGTCATCATCATCGTGGCTACGCACAGGATGAGGGTTCACGGCCATCGGAAACTTGTGGCGTCCGTGATCCCAGCAGGGACTACGACTTGCCTTGCCTGTTCAAAGGTTTTCGGGACCACCCGGCAACTTTTAGACCATGCCCAGTACAAAGCCCGCAAGTGCCGAGATAAGATTCTCGCACTCTGATGTGTTTGCCAGTTGTTTTCGTTTTTTGTGTTTTGCCGCACGACGTTGGTCTATGGTTTCTGCCTGTCTGTCTGCATCATCCTCATTCATCATCATCCTCATTTATCATCATCAGCCGCATCATCATCATCATCATCATCATCAGCATCAGCATCAGCATCAGCATCATCATTATTATTATTATTATTATTATTATTATTATTATTATTATTATTATCATCAGCAGCATCATCATCCTCATTCATCATCATCCGCATTAATCATCAGCCGCATCATAATCATCATCATCATCATCATCATCATCAGCAGCATCATCATCATCATCATCATCATCATCATCATCATCATCATCATCATCATCATCATCATCATCATCATCATCATCATCATCCCCCGTTCTGCTCTCCCAGCTTTTTCTGTTGTCTTCTTCGGTGTTCCTGCTGAGCGCCCTCTCCTGCGCGTCTCCTTTGATGCTGCTCCGCCGTGCTGGTGCCACTGCTGCTGCTGCTGGGTTGGGCGGCCCTGCTCGTGCCCGCCTCGCTGCCCACGCCCGCGCGGAGGGGTCGATATCTCAAAGGCATGCTGGCTCAGTCGTTTGCTTCCCTGCCCCTCTCGGACTGGCGCGCGCACTTCCGCACCGCCTGTGGCATCGGGTCGCTGCTCACCCCTGAGCTCTTCGACGACGATCGGACGTGGCGCGTTCAGCCCAGTGGATGGCCGCCGGCAGTGTGTCCCGCCGTCGAAGTCGGCTGGAGCCTCCGTGAGCGCTGCCGCCCCGACGCGACTCGGATCTGGCAGGCAGGCCGCTTCTGGATGGTGGTCCTGGCGGGAGGGCAGCGCGGGGCCGACGAGTCGGCGGCCATCGCTGCTGTGTTCGCGAGGGCTGGCAGCGTTCTGCATCTCTCTCGGGTGGTGAGCCGCAGCGAGCTTATATCCCTGAGCTGCGCTGTTGCTCCCCAGGGGCCCTGGCAGAGGGCTCTGCCTCCCAACCCCCCCCGCCGCTGGCCGCTCTCTGCGTTCTCGTTGCCCAACGTGCTGGCGACGTGGTCCGCCCCGCCGCCCATGGGTAGGCCCGCATGCCGCTGCCTCCTGCCTGCTTCCACCCTCCTTACCGAAGCAAGGAGGAGCGCGTTCTGTGGCCGCTTGCGGGGAGGAGGCGGGGCTTTAAGTCGGCCCTCCCTCCCCCCCAGAAAAGGCTGAACGGCCCCCGCCCTCCCCTCCAAAAGGGGGGAGGGCCCAAACCCACCCACCCACCCCGCGAAAATGTGGGGGTCCAGACCCCCCCTTCCCGCGCCAGCAGACGACGACGACGACGACGACGACGACGACGACGACGACGACGACGACAAGGACGAAGACGACGACGACGACGACAAGGACGAAGACGACGACGACGACGACGATGACAAGGACGACGACGACGACGACTACGACGCGTCCCGCCTGCCCGCCCGCGCGACCGACTCGCCCTCGCGCACGCGACGGCGTCGACGTGTCTCGCCCGCCCGCCCGACCGATTCGCCCCCCCTGCGCTTCTACGTGACAAGTACTGGCGCCGGCGGTGAACCGTCAACCTGGTCACCGCCGGGAACCTCGTAGAGCTCCTTGCACCCGTAAGAAAGCTCAGGATCGAAGGGGAGAGCTTCTGGGAGTTTTTCTGGAAATTCGTCAAATTGAGATTTTCGGAGTGAAGATGAAGTCGGTTCCGGGAAGTCAACTAATACTAAAATTGGCTCGAGAGAGCTGAGCTGCTCAGGGAACAAAATTTATATGCCAATGCTCGGCGTAAAAATTTGCTTTCTCAAAAAAAGGGTCAAATATCTTTCAAATCTGAGCAAAACCGACCCAAAGTCACCACTTTGTCCTTTCTGGTCGGGTCGACCAACTAGCTCCACCCCGCGCCGGAATTCCTCTAGCTCATCGATAACGAAGAGCTCTACGAGGTATGTAGAGTGGTAGTTGTATTCGCTCCCCGCGCTGCCACACGACGAGCCGAGTGGAGTAGATTTTGTTCGCTCCCCCCTGCGCTGCCGCGTGACGAGTAAAGAGGTGCTTTTGTTCGCCCCCCAACGTTGCCGCGTGACGAGTAGTGTGCAGTAGCACGTTTGTCCGCTCTCCTGTGTTGCCGCGTGACGAGTAGAGCGGCGTCGTCAGCATCGTCGTCGCCGTTGCTTTCCCCGTCGTCGTCGTCATCGGTCGTCGGTCGTACAACCCCCCTGGATTAAAAAGTTGAGATCGGAGCTACACCGAAACAACCGCATCCTGGTATTCGTCCGTCGTTCGGCTTTCGAGCCGCGACTTTCGATCGGGACTGGATCCTGGGAAGTCGATGGTCGCTGTTCGACCGGACCTCTATCCTCGACCCTCGAAGTATCTGGGGCCCTCGATCCTCGATCCTCGAGCCTCGATCGAACCTCGATCATGGATGTTCGATCGGCCAGGCATTCTGGAGCCTGGAGTTTCGATCAAGCCTGGAACATCGGTTCTCGATCGTCGCTCTTCGATCGGCCATCCAGCGTCGAACTTCGACGGATCGTGGCCGCTCGATCCTGGCTCCTCGATGTCCGAACGGCCCTGGATCCTCGACCCTCGATCTCCGACCCTCAATCGCTAGGTGGTTGTCGAACTTTGATCGGCCGTGGAACCCAAAGCCTCGTTTCCGATCGATATGGGTTCGCTCTTCCACAGTCGGTCCTGGGTCATCGATCGTGTATCCTCGATCATCGATCCTGGATCGTCGATTCTGGACCGTACATCCTGGGTCAACCGCGTCGCCCCAAAATGACCCTGGGATCGAACCTCCCACAGGGGGGCCTGCGACCCGACGCGACCTCAAGATGGCCTCAAGATGACTCCAAGACAAACCTGTGAACCGAACGATGCAACGGCCATCCCTGCGGACATCCGCCCAGGCGCAGATAGGACCGCGCGCGCGAGGCTGTGGCAACTGGAATCTGACTTGCACGGAGAGCATGCGAGCCCGAACAATCCAACACTGTGATGATAAGAGGAGAGAGTGGGAAGAGGAATAGGTCCGCGGCGTCTGTGTGAGCGTACATGAGACCAGAAGCTCGAATGTCAGGAAGTCTCAAGCGAAATCGTCGTTTTCTGGTGGCATGAGATGCGACAAAAAGTAATGTGTGAGGAAGTCCCACGCGAAATCGCCACTGTCTGGCGGCCTCAAAAGGGACCGGAATATTTGTTTGAGGAAGTCCCACGCGGAATCGCCACTTTCCGGTGGCATGGCAGAATTTCCAGTCGCCCTGGAAGGCGACCGGAAACTTTTTTTGAGGAAGTCCTAGGCAGAATCCCACTTTCCGGTCGGAGCCCCATTTGGCCTTTATGATATTGAAAGGGATGATGGAGGCACCGAAACTCCGGAATTGGCAACAAATCCAACATTGTCCCGGGGGCCCGCTGCCTAACGGGAGGCAAACCACGTCTACCTCGGCCCCTGCGGTCTCCACTTTGTAATCCAGGGGTGGTAGTCGTCGTCGTTTGCCGGCGCGGGGGGTCTGTGTGAGGGAGGGGAGGGGTTCCGGTTCGCCGGATGTTTGGGATGTTGGCTGGGGGAGAGTTCCCTTGATGTTCGACGTATCGGAGAACGTTGCTCGCCCAAGCGAACCCAAGTGACCGTGAAACGCGCGCTCTCTCTCTCTCTCTCTCTCTCCCTTTCTCTTTCCTTCTCTCTCGTTCTCCCTTTGATTGTTTTTTTGCGATTTCTTTTGATGTGTTGGTTTCTCTCTCTCTCTCTCTCTCTACATATATATATATATATATTATTATTATTAAGGGAAGGGCCCCCGGAGGAAAGCCTGACCCGCCGAATACTGCAAATCTCCTAGCTGGGAAAGGAGTTGGAGGGGGCGAGCCCGACAGCATGGCGCGGCAGGCTCCGGAGGTGACTTCTCATCCGTATGAGCGGCGGCTTGGGCGTTGCCGGTGGTGGCCGTGGCCCGATGGCCTCCAGTGTTCGCAGGGAGGCCCAGATGGCCTCCAGAGCGCTCCTCACGAGGCCCAGAGAGGCCCCGGGGGGTCCAAAGTGGGGCGAAAAGCTGGGAGCACCCTGGGCCAGCTCGCAGGACCCTTACGAGCAAGCCCCCCACCGGGGTGCAGGATTGTGCTGAAGGTGCCGCCAGGGTGCGGCTGAAGGACGTACACGTTGGCTGCGCCGAGGGGCGGTCCTCGAGACCTGCCGAGCCCGGCGCGAGGCACCCTGGGCCAGCACCACCTCTGGCAGTACCCGACTGGTCCTCCCTTCCCCTCCCCATCCCCCCCCCCACCTCCGCGAAGAAGCCGCGGGCCGAGGACTTCCCGTACATCAATGGCCGGCTGGCGCCGGCCTCGAGGTACCGCCGCAACCACTCCAACGACCAGGTGCGGCACGGCCCGGTTGTTCATCTCGGAGACGGCGACGACGCCCACCAGAACGACAACGACCACCGCCACGACGGCGACGTTGACGATGACCACCACGGACGCAACGAATCTCACCCTCCTCATACCAGCCTCTAGCATCCGTCTCTCTTCCTCCATCTCCTCCTCTGGGCGAAAGGATAAGGAAGAAGAGCAAGAGCAAAAGTAGGAGGAGGATCGAGTTGGCCAGGTCGAGCGAGTCAGAGGGCCCGGCCTATTCCCACCAACCCTTCCACAACATGAGGAACGAGTGTGGCACAGCCTGGTGTCGGGGTTGGAACGCACTCCCACTTCGTTAACTGACGGCGCTCGCGCGCGGCCCCGCTTCCGACTGCTCGACGAGAAGAAAACTGTTGGGGTGATCAGGGAGGTGCAGGAGCAAGAGAGGGGGCAGCTGTTATCTTTCAGAGGGGAGGAGGAGAGGAGAAGGAGGAGGAGCAGGAGCAGGAGGAGGATGATGGAAGAGGACATGGAGGAGGAGGAGGAGGAGGAGGAGGAGGAGAAGGAGAAGAAGGAGGAGGAGGAGGATCCGTAACCATTTTGGCTGAAGTTAAATCCGCTTTCCCTGGCGGCTTTAGCTTGGACATCGCCGAGGGGCTGGCCCGGAGTCCCGCAGTTGTTGCAATCTCCCGATCCGCTCAGGAGCTTCAGGCGCTGTGTGTCGCTTTCGGCATCGCCCTTCCAATGATGTCCTTGGGAGCCGCTACCAGGTAGCCAGCGAGACATGCGTGGCCTTGGGGCGCAGGCGTCGCATGCCGATCTTGCCCTGCTCGATGCCGCTCCAACCTCCCGTCCCAGGAGCTTCGCGAAGGTGGAGGTCAAGTCCGCCGTCCACGTCCTAAGGGTGCTGCTGCTGCTCTTGGCGAGCGTCGCAGCCGCAGTCGTCATGATGAGCCACCCGGTGCTCCAGGCGCCGCTGACGACGATGAGGACGACGTCCAGGACTGGTGGTGGCGCCGCAACTGCTGAGCTGCGATCCTGCGTCGACGAAACGAAAGAACAGCCTCTCGGCTATCAGTCAGACCCAGTCCAGTGTTTCATCGCTGGCCGATGCCGTCTCAAGTTCCTGTTCATCATCTTCCCACCAGGCCGAGGCTAGGCAGCGGGCCACCGACAGCCGCTTCGAGGCTATATGGAGAGAGACATGCCGGAGTTGCAGTCGATTTGGGGGCTCATGCAGTCGGAAGCTTTCCCCCCCTACGTCGCAATCGACTCAATCATCTTCCTTCGACCGTGCTTCCGGCATGGGCATCATCGTGGCCAAGACCAAGTCGAGCACGCCGATGCAGAACATCCTCCCGGCGTTGCAGAAGTGGTTGTTCAGGGCCACCCTCACGCAAGATGGCGTCCAGGTCGAAGCAGAGCCCGTCGCGCGTCGCTTCCAGAATCGAGTCGAAGGTCTTGCCCAATATGCAGCCCGGAAGGTGGCGATTGGTCTGCATCAGTGGGGGCGTTTGCAAACAACCGACGTCGAGAAAATCCCAGTGGAGATTCGCATTTCGGCGGGTATGTATGCATGTCAGGTCAAGAAGGAATTCTCACTCAACCAGAGTAGCCGTGAAGTCGAGAGCGTTCACGGCAATTACCGGGCTTGCGCGAATCCGCGCAGTGGAAGCCGATTCCCCAAGTGAACCCCGCACAGAACGACAGACCCAAGATCGAGCGGGCCATGGACAATGCCACTATGTCGCAGATCGACCGCCAGAGGATTAAGATGGCGATCGAGCCGTTCTTTCAGGACCCAGCACCAGTCCTGCGCAGCGGGCAGCACGTTGTTCAGGCAATGGCGGAGAGATGCTCCCCTTCCCCGCCCCCTCTTTGTCCTGCCTCCTGGACTGCCAAGTCCATATTCTTCCATAGCCTGTACCTCCGCAGTCGCAAGTTCTTCTACCTTGCTAAGCTTTAGTACCAGGTGCACTTGGCCCCGATCAAGACGCGAGGCACCCCGACGAATCTCCGTGATTCCCTCTGCAATCTTCATCGGTCTGGTCAAGCATACCACTCCTTCGCCCCAGCCCACCCCTGCCTTGATGGCGGGGCCATCACCTTACTCCCCGACATCTCCGACAGACACCCACGGGAAAAGCCAGAGGTTATCCCCGAGGTCCTGGTGCGAGGCATAGTTTTGAAATTAACCTGGCGAAGGACCCAACCATGTCATATGCAGCTGTGACCACCACTGTCGTGAGTATCTCGGTGTAGACCGGTATGGGGCCACGAGATGTGTGAGGGGTGTGCCGACAGGGCGTGGCAGACGCGCGTGGCCAGTAACATTGGGGCCTGGGGTGGAGCTCCCTACGGGGCCACGAGCCGTGTGAGGGGTGTGCCGACGTGGGTGTGGCGGACGCACGTGGACAGTGCCTCTGGGGCCTTGGGTGGAGCTCCTTAAGGGGCCACGTAGCGCGTGAGGGTTGTGCCGACATGGGTGTGGCGGACGCACGTTGACGGTGCCATTGGGGTTTTCGGTGAAGCTCCTTATGGGGCCACGAAACGCGTGAGGGGTTTGCCGACATCGGCGTGACGGACGCATGCGGACGGTGTCAGTGGGGCCTTGGGTAGAATTTCCCGTGGGGCCACGAAGCGGGTGAGGGGTGTGCCGAAATGGGTGCGGCGGATGCATGTGGACGGTGCCACTGGGGACTTGGGTGGAGCTCCGTGCGTGGCCACGAAACGTGTGACAGATGTGCCGAAATTGGAGTGGCGGACGCACGTGGACGGTGCCAGTGGGGCGCTGGGTGGAGCTCCTTGCGTGGCCGCGAAACATGTGAAGGGTGTGCCGCCATGGGTGTGGCGGACGCATGTTGACGGTGCCATTGGGGCCCTGGGTGGAATTCCTCATGGGGGCCTTGAAACATGTGACAGGTGTGCCGACATGGGTGTGGCGGACGCACGTGGACGGTGCCATTGGGGCTGTGGGTGGAGCTCCTTATGGGGCCACGAAACGCGTGGTGGGTTTGCCGACATGGGCGTGGCGGGCGCATGCGGACGGTGCTATTGGGGTTGTCAGTGGAGTTTCTTGTGGGGCCACGAAGCGTGTCAGGGGTGTGCCGACATGGGTGTGGCGGACGCATGTGGACGGTGCCATTGGGGCTTTGGGTGGAGCTCCCTATGGGGCCACGAAACGTGTGAGGGGTGTGCCGAAATGGGTGTAACGGACGCGTGTGGACGGTGCCGTTGGGGCCTTTGGGTGGAGCTCCCCATGGGGCCACGAGGCGTGTGAGGGGTGTGCCAACATGGGTGCGGCGGACGCCTGTGGACGGTACCAATGGGGCGTTCGGTGAAGCTCCTTACGGGGCCACGAAACGTGTGAGGGGCGTGCCGACATGGGTGTGGCGGTGGCGGACGCATGTGGGCGGTGCCAGTGGGGCCTTGGGTGGAGCTCCCCATGGGGCCACGAAACGTGTGAAGGGTGAGCCGAAATGGGTGTGGTGGGCGCATGTGGACGGTGTCATTGGGGCTTTGGGTGGAGCCCCATACGAGGCCACGAAACGTGTGAGGGGGTTTGCCGACATGGGTGTGGCGGACGCATGTGGACGTTGGCATTGGGGCCTTCCTATGGGGCCACGAAACGTGAGAAGGGTGTGCCAAAGTGAGGGGGGCGACGGGAGAAGGAGAGGAGGAGTAAGGAAGGAAGGAAGGAGAGGAACGCGAGGACCGTCTCGTCAAAACGAGGACCCAACACCATAGGATAATCGTGAAAAAATAACCGTCAAATTTCACAAGAACGTCGAGTTCATGCATTCCATTATCCATAAGTTCGGGTTCGAGACCTCCGCGCGGGATTTCATTCTCGCGACGAGAGAGCGCAACCTCCTGTGGGCCCAGGAAGCACCCTGCCAGAAGGTTCTCGTCATCCAGGGCGATGTCAAGTCAATATATCCTCAGTTTGTTATGTTCCTGCGGGGCGTTTGGAACCTGGTGTTCAGGGCCCTCCCGATCAACCACGGGACCCTCCTGGACAGCCTCGAGTTCCCCAGGGCCAAGAGTGGCGGAGTCAACGACACCCGAGTTTGGGAAGGCGTTTCCAGGCCTTCGTGCAGTTTTCGGCGGTGGAGCCCACTCGCCACTGTAACTCCAGCGACGCGCTCGCTGCGCTGGACCGCGCCTTTGTGTCCATGTCAGGCTGGACGCTGACGCGACACGCCGCCACGACCCAGGTCGAGCGAGTCCCAGATGTGCTCCACCGCACGGACTTTTTCCTGATCGCGCTGCCGTCGCTGCTCAGCTGACCCCCAGGGGCGAACTCACAGCGCTCCAGAGAGGGACCCACCCCGAGGTCTACAAGAGCCCCAAGTATGCCGAGTATATATCTAGAGCAATGGAGGCGGCAGTGCCCCGTCTCCCCTTACACCCCGACCCCCTACACCCCGCCCCTTACCTCCCCGACCCCCTGTGCCCCGCGTCTCCGACAGGCTGTCCAGCTCTCCGTCTCCCCCGCGGCTCCGCCCAAGACGCCCCCCACGAGGCCCCCACCTCAACTCCCCAGCCCCCTGCGCCTCGCACCCCCGACGAGCGCCCGAGCCCTCTGTGCCCCACCCATAGACCGCCCGCGAGGCCCCCGCGAGGCCCCCGACGCGCGCCCCAAAGGCCCCGACGAAGCCCCAGAGGGCCCCCAGAGACTCCTAGCAACGTTGCCTCGCCCCCCCGTCTTAGAGACCCCCCCAACCCACCCACCCCCCACCCCCTGCACCCCGCGCCCTGCGACCCACGTCAATTCATCTCCGCGACCTTCTCGACGGCGTCTTCCCCATTAGTGCCATCCACCCATGAAAGGTCCTCGTCGTCACAACCCTTCCGTCACCTTCCCAGCCCCTTGCGCCCCGCGCTTCCGACCGGTTTTCAAGCTCTCCGTCTCCCCCGCGATTCGGGTCAAGACGCCCCCGCGACGCCCCTCGCGTCACCTCCCCAACCCTCTGCACCTCGCAGTTCCGACCAGCCCCCGAGTCTTCCATGCGCCCCCAGAGATTGCCCAAGAGGCATCCACGAGGCCCCCAACGCGCGCCAAAAGGCCCCGATCAAGCCCCAGAAGGCCCCCAGAGACTCCTAGCAAGCCTCAAGGAAGTCGTCACGAAGCCCCCACAACGTTGCATCGACCCCCATCCCTAGAGACCCCCGCCACCTTCCCGGCACACCTACACCCACCCCTTTCGACCCACATCTCAATGCATCTCAGCGACCTTCTCGACAGCGTCTCCCCCAAGATTGCCATCCACCCTTCAAAGACCCCCCATCACAAAGCCTTCCGTCACCTCCCCAACCCCTCTGCACCAAACGCATCCGACACGTTTTCAAGCATCCTGTCTCCCCCCCGAGTCCGCCCACGACGCCCCACAAAGCAATCCCCGTCACCTTCCCAACCCCTGCGCCTCACGCCTCCGACAGACTTCCAGGCCCTCTCATCCTCAAAGACGCCACCACGGCCGCCCCGAGCGGGCCCCGCAAGCGCCCCGCAGCGGCGACCCCGAACCACCGCGGCGGGCAAGAAGCCAGCCAAGAAGTCGAAGCAGTGGGAAGTGCACGCAAAATGTTGTACAGAGAGCACGGGGACACACCCCCGTCGCTCGGACACAGCATAGCGCGACGTCGGGGCCACCTACCCACTACGTGCGAAAAAAAACAAACATCGCTGCCGATGCGCGGCCCCATCGCTCGCGACCTCCCAAACCCCCTCCCGCCCCCCCCCCCCCCACACCCCACACACGCGCACATTCCAACCCCCCGCACCCGATCGGGCGCGCCATTCTCCGCAGAGCTTGCGGGGTTAGCACGGGCGCCGTCAGTTGCGCCTCCTCCTCCTTCCGTCGCCCGTGACCTTCCCAAACCCTCCCTTCTGCCGTTGGGCCGCTCGTAATCGTGCGAGTCCGAGGCCGTTTGTGCCCCCCCGCGCGTGCGCGGGCGTGCACTGCCACTGGCCCGCGGAGACATGAAGCCATCATCGTTGGCGCCCCTTCTCATCTTATCGCCCATCGGCATCGCGCGCCCCTCCCTTCTCAGGCTTCGGCGCGAGCGCACTCCCCAGGTGCCCCGCACCCTTCCGCCCCCGACTTTCCAACCCCAAGCCAGCCCGTCGCCGACATCTGGAGCCGACAGATTCTGTGCTATTCGCACGCCGCGCACACGCGCACCATGCCAAGACTTTCGAAGCGAAGGGCAGCGAGCCTCAAGCCTCGCATATGAATCTGTACATACATACATACGTCCGTACGTACGGACATACATCGAGAGAGAGAGAGAGGGAGAGAGACGAGACAGAGAGAGAGAGAGCACGCGCGCAATATACATATATATATATAAAGAGAGAGAGAGAGAGAGAGAGAGAGAGAGAGAGAGAGAGAGAGAGAGAGAGAGAGAAAGAAACAAAAGAGAGAGAGAGAGAGAGAGAACGAGAACGAGAGAGAGATAGAGACAGAGAGAGGCGCCCGGCAGCTCGCCGAAGAGGAGGAGCGCCCCGCCCGGGCCGTCGGCGACTGGGCCGCCCCGCGCGCCCGCCAGGCGGAGGCTTGAAGGGCCCCGCCGTAGCGGTCGAGCGGGCCACCGCCCAGAGGACCGCAGCGCGGGTGGCCGACCGAGAGGGGATCCATCGTCGGCCCTCGAGCTCCAGGAGGCCACCGCGGTCCCCAGGGGGGGCTCGGCGTCCTCGGGGGGCCCCCCGAGGCTGGAGGCGCAGGGAGGGCCAGATGCGCCCGGAAACATCGGTCGTCTGTCCTCCTTGCGCGCCCCCCTCCCCCGCGGCCCAGTTCCCCCCGGCTCCGTCGCTCCACTTTGCTGCCCCCTTTCGCCCCCGCCTCTCGCACCGCACATGACGACCGGCAGGCCGAGCGCCAAAGATCGTTGCTGCCCAGGGTCACCCTTGGGTGCAGACGAGAGGAGGAGAGTCGGAGGCACGCCCGCGAGGCGAAGATCGAGGATGGAGGAGCAAGGTGCGAGGATGGAGGATCGAGGATGAGTGTTTGACCAATCTTGGGGGCCTCCTCCTCCTCATCCTCCTCCTCCTCCTCCTCATCCTGCTCCTGCTCCTCCTCCTCCTCCTCCTCCTCGATCTCCTCCTGCTCCTCCTCCTCCTCCTCCTCCTCCTCCTCCTCCTCCTCCTTCTCCTCCTCCTCCGCCTCCTCCTCCTCCTCCTCCTCCTCCTCCTCCCCCTCCTCCCCCTCCTCCATCTCGTCGCCACGGTCGGGTGCCCCTCGGACGTGCGGTCGAACGCGCTCACGGAGAGGTCCAGGGGTCGACTTTTGAAAGGGTGTGGCACGAGGGGCGGAGGAGGAGGAGGAGGAGGAGGAAAACTAGGGGAAGAAGGAGGGGGAGGATGAAGAGGAGGAGGAGGAGGAGGAGGAGGAATCGAAAACACATCCTCGCTCCTCCTCGTGGCGCAAGGTGAGAGGGCCCATAGGAGCTGTGCAAGCCACCCTCCTCGACATCGGTTGACTCCCAGTCTCGGCGGTCGAGTGGCGCAGACCCGTTGGCGACAGCTGGGAGTTTCCCGACCCGCCCCCCGAGGAGATGAGGAGCGAGGATGGTTTCGATTTCTCGGACCTCCTGGGCGACCTCCGCGAGGACCTCTCCTCCCTCTCGGACCTCTCCTCCGCGTCTCATCCGTTCGGCGATGGCTTGTCGGCTGGAGCTGATGTCATCCCGATCCGTTTGGAGATCCGTCGAGCGGTTCGATCGGGGAAGTGCGACGAAGTAGGGCAGCTGATCACAGTAGTCTCGGGGGGTCAGTGGCCGCAGCAGAGGCAGATAGACGCGGGATATCTCGCGTCTCCTCTGTGCCCGCGCTGCGGAGAGGCCCCAGAGACGCCTTTTTTTCATCGGAGATGGCAATGTCGCTGCAATTAGGGCAAGGGTTATGCTGATTCGGACTTCCTTATTCCGCAGGCCGTGGCTGGGCAGGCTCAACTTCCAGCCCTCTGGCTTCGTGGCCCTCCCCCCTCCTCTCTCACCACTCCCTCGTTCGTGGATGGGCGGGGTGGGGCTACGGTTTGGAGTGTGGGGCGGGATGGGGATGATGCAGAGTGCCCGCTCGAGGCCGACGCCACGGCCCGTGCGTGGCGTGACCCTCACGACCGCGTCGTCGTCTTCGGAGACGGCTCAGGAGGACAGTTCCGCAGTGACGTTCGCAGGCGGAGAGTCGGCGCGGCCGCGGTGGTGATGGAGTTCACCCCGAGGGGTTTGCGACGCCTGGCCGTGTTGCGTGTGGTCTAGACGGTCGGCGCCAGACGGTCCCGAGGGCTTAGCTGCGGGCGTTCGCGCTCGCCCTGGCCTCTTTTGACGGGCCGCAGCTCTATGCCACCGATGGTGCGATGTTGCTGCGTGGGTGGGAACAGGGTCTCCACCGCACGGGTGGGGGCAACGGCCCCAACGCAGACTTGTGGCGCATGATCAGGGATGCTTGTCGGTCTCGCGAGGGCGAGGTGTGCGTCGTCTGGACGCCCAGTCATCTCGACCCCTCCTCCCTCGAGCTGTCTGCCTGGGAGCGGTGCCTGGCGGAGGGCAACGACGCGGCCGACGAGCTCGCGAGCTCCGCTTCGCGCCGCCTGGCAGGCGGCTCTCGACGGCAATGCCCCGCACACGGATACGTGGGATTGCACGGCCGCTTTGGTGCGCAAGAGAGCCAGGCAGGCTTTCCTCGACGCCACGGCGGCCGCGCCGTGGACTGCTGAGCGGCCATCGAGCGCTCGCTCCCCCCAGCGTCGGCTCTCCAGCAGGCTCTCCTTGCCCCCAGTCGTTGCATTGTGCGAGCAGGACGCCACTGGGCTTGCGCTGGGCTCCTGTCTCGCCGAGGCGTGTGCACGATGGACGGCGATGCGGTCGAGACGCATCCTGCCGACATCATGCGAGCGGTGGGAGCGGAGGTTCGGGTGGAGGGGGGAGTTCTGCATGCGCCGCATCGAGTGCAGCTGTGGCCGAGGCACAGTCTGTTCTTTTGCGCTCGGTGCGGCTTCACGGCCACGACCGACCCCCGCCGTTTGCTGTGTGAGTGTGCTGAGGCTTCCAGGAAGGGGCGGGAGAACCTGGCGAGGACCCGCACGGGTCCATATCTAGGCCGTCGTGTCCCCGAGGTTGCGGTGGAGTGCGACCTGCGGTGGGCGAGGCGCAAAGTTGCGTTCTGCCGCCCCCCTGGGGTCTTGTACCCAGAGCCCTCGGGGTTGCCGTGAACTCTGACCCACCGCATGTGGGTGGCAGGCAATTCCGAGTCAATTCTTCCTCCTCGTTTGTCCTCCCCGCCCTTCGTTCTCGCTCATTCTCCGCCATTCTGTCTCTCTCCGCCTCCTCGCCCCCTCTCTCCCCCGCACTTCCCCATGATGTGTACACCACTCCTCCTCCTCCTCCTCCGCCTCCTCCTCCTCATCATCATCATCATCATCAGCATCATCACCATCATCGTCATCATCATCATCGTCGTCATCATCATCAGCATCATCATCATCCGCATCCTCATCAGCGTCATCAGCAGCAGCATCAGCAGCATCGTCATCATCAGTGTCCACATCTTCATCAGCATCAGCATCAGCATCACCATCATCGTCCCTTTCAGGTAGCACATCAGCAAACACAAGAATTGGAAATATCATCACCACCACCATCATCGCCAACAGCAGCATCAGCATCGACATCACCATCGTCAACATCATCATCATTATCAGCAGCATCATCAGCACCATCGCCACTACCATCATCATCATCCTCATCATCGTCACTCTCATCGTCAACATCATCATACTCATCCTCTCCCTCAAGTTCATCATCCTCGTTCTCATCATCACCATCACCGCCATCACCGTAACCATCACCATGGACAGCATCGACATCATGACCATCATCATCATCATCATCATCATCATCATCATCATCATCATCATCAGCATCAGCATCAGCATCAGCATGATCATCATCATCATCATCATCAGCAGCAGCATCATAGTCGTCAGCATTACCATTACCATCAACACATGCCTCATCTTCATCAGCATCAGCATCAGTATAATAATCACCAGCATCGACACAGCACCATCCGTATCATCATCATCGTGGTCATCAGCATCATCCTCCTCCGCATCGTCATCATCAACATCATCATCCTCCTCATCACCGTCATCACCATCACCAGCATCAGCATCGTCATCATAATCATCATTATCAGCATCCACACCCTGATCCTCACAAGCATCACCGTCGGCATCACGATCATCGTCCCTTTAAAACAGCACATCAGCACACACAATAACTAAAATAGAATCACCAACACCCTCAGCATCACCATCATAATCATCATCATCATCATCATCATCATCATCATCATCAGCATCATCATCATCATCATCATCATCATCCTCATCATCATCATCATCATCGTCATATTCATCTTCATCATCGTCATCACCGTCATCACCGTCATCATCGCCATCGGCATCACCATCATCATCCTCATCATACTCATCATCATCGCCGTCAGCATCATCATCATCATCATCGCCACCATCACCACCTTAGACTCACCATCATGGTAGCCCTCATCATCAGCATCAGCATCCTGATCCTCATCCTCGCATTCATCCTCCCCATAATCATTACCATCATCAGCATATCGGCATCAGCACCATCATCACCATTATCGTCGTCATCATCATCATCATCATCATCCCCATCACCATCATCATCAGCACCGTCACCACCACCAGCGTCACCATACTTAGTATCTTCAGCACCATCATCATCACCATGATCTTCGCCATCCTCATCCTCGTCCTCATCATCCTCCTCATCACCATCAGCATCACCATCGTCGCCAGCATCATCGCCATCATCAATATCCTCGTCAGCATCACCATTCTCATCATCAGCATCATCAGTATCATCCTCATCATCATCATTGCCACCATCCTCATCATCAGCATCCTCATCATCCTCATCAGCCTCACAATCACCCTCATCATCAGCATCATGGTAATCTCCCTCATCCTCATCATAGTGACCCTCAACCTCATCACCATCACTGTCATCATCTTCTTCATCATCATTGCCAGTATCATCACCATCACCGTCATCATCATCAGCATGTTCATCATCCTCATCATCGTCATCAGCAGCATCGTCGTCATCAACATCATCGTCAATATCAGGATAAGTTTCCTTATCCTCTTCCCCATCATCATTCTCATAATCCTTTTCATCACCATCATTATCATCATCATCGTCATCATCATCATCGCCATCACACAAGCATCGTCATAACCATCATCATCATCATCATCATCAGCATCATCATCGTCAGCATCGTCGTTATCAGCATCATCATCCGTCTCCGCCTCATCATCATCAACAGTACCATCCTCATCATCAACATCATCATCACCACCATCTTCCTTTTGAAGCAGTACATCAGAAAACACGATACCAAAAAATATGTTCACTACCACCATCATCATCACCATCATCATCATCAGCATCATCATCATCGTCCTCATCACCATCGCCACCATCATCATCCTCATCAGCATTAAGATCAT